CTTTGCGTCATGGTACCACGCTAGTAGGTACTTGTGGGTCATCGTACCACGCCAGTGGATGCAAGCGGAAAGGTCCCCACCCAACCACAATGTTTGCTTGCATGTGCTTGTGGAGGGGTCCTGGCGCCACCGTAGTTGCCACAACTGTTAGTGTATGAGCTGTTCAACCGTTCTTTTGCTGCCAGCGCCCTGCCAATGACAAGTTTCGATTGTATCAGCTGCAGGTCAGCTTCTACATCCTCGTGAATATAGACGAACTTCTAGACGAATTCAAAACCCTCATGGAGCGTTGCTGAAATGCTTGCTCCAACAAGACCCCAACCACCCTTCCCCCCTTTCCGGCATCGTGTGGTATTCCGGCTTGACGCCGTCCAGGGGATCGATGGGAGGAAAGGCCGTCATGACCATGGCCTGTGAGGTTTGGTACAATATAGGGGCCTTAATAATTAGAATATGGTTTTGGGGCCCATTATACTATATTTTAATAGGGAGCCCCAAAATTGTAAATATTGGTATTTGTTTAGGCCCCTATAGTAGGAGTACAGGGCTCTTACAGGGTTCGGTTTCTTCTTACTTGGAGGATGGGTAGGAAGCTTTAGTATGGGAGCCTTAATCATTAGAACAGTTTTCCTTCGGGCACCTTGATGTAAGTAATGTAGGGGCCTTAATATTTAGAATAGGGTCTTGGGGCCCATTCTACTCTATGTATAGTGAGGAACCCTAAGTATAATATTGGTAATCATTTAGGCTTCTGTATTAAGTATGTTCACCACAAAACACGGGTTTTGTGGAGGATCGCAGCCTCGCTCGTTGCTGATGTACTTGTCAGAAATGCTGTGATTTTTCGGACTTCCTCTGTTCATTCCTGGGTGCTCTTCGGTGGGTTTGTGAGGGTTTTACGTTGGTTTTACGAGGTTTAGCTTTGAGGCTTTATTCTGGTGGCCTTGTAGATCGATGCGTGCATCTCCCAGCCGATGTACCCCGCGTCGTCGAGGTAGTCTGCGAGCCAAGCGCCCATCTGCGAGGCAATAAGAATAGCAGCACTTTGCACATGCACGCACACACACACAAATGCATATACTTGCGTTCCATCGGTATGTGTGTATATGTATACACATATGCATGTATTAAACATATGTTATGTGCGTGTACACCTGCCGTTCATGGGTCGTTACTTACAGACATAATACATCAAAATGCTAAAGCCAAGTAATATTTAAGGCTCCATGCAACTGTGCAGTCCATCATGCGAACGATGACGTCAAAACGCAATGACGAGATGACAAGCATCAGAAATCACGATCGAAATCAGGAGCGAGCCGTCTGGATCGAATCAGTGATGTTGGGGATATCGATCTGATCGGAGGTACAGGGGACCGAATGAAAAGAAGCAAGGACTAAAGAACCCTTATGGAATCCTAACCGCCCTATGAAGAACCTCCCCGGAATCTCGTTTCTCCATGGTCTCCTTTCTTTCATGTTGGTTGAAGACCGCCCTACAGCTTCACAATCTGCAAAGAAGGTTGTTCAACCCGAAACCAGGAGCCTAAGATCTGAAACCTGGTAGCTTTCCCGCTGAACCCCAAAACGCATCAGTACTACCACTCCAAAGCTTTACTTCTCGGCAGACCTCGGTTTTGGCTCTGTCTCGGTCCACAGCGCCCGTTGCCGCGGCAAAGAGGGCCATTTCTTTCTTCTCCTCTGGATCTGATCCAATACCACAACCTTAAGCTCCAAGCCCAACCCAAAACCTAGACGGCTTAGACCCCTCAACCTTCATCCGTGACACCCAGCCCCCTAAACCAATCGTCAAACCTAAGCCCTCAACTCTGATAGGGTGTAGGGTTTAGGGTTTCAAACCCCCTGTTTATGAGCAGTCTGGCTCAAGCTTGAAAAGTGTCCCAGGAGGAATGGCTCCCAGCTGCAGCCCAGGGCTGGACAGTGCATGGTTGGACCTGGTTGGCGATTTCCAGGAAGCAGAGAAGGCTGCAAGGGCGGAGGAACTGGCCAAGAAGAAGGCCAAGCAGAAAGCCAAGGACTTGAAGAAGAAGGCCAAAGCCGAGGGTGAGCAGCCGAAGAAGCAGAAGAAGAAGAAGAAGAGTAAGAAGAGGACCCGCACCAGGAAACAAGAAACAGCAAAGAAAAGGCGACAAAGGAACAGGAGAAGGGAGAAGGAGAAGAAAGAGAAGGAACAGGCGAGGCAAAAGAAGCAGGAGGAGAGGAAAGCATCCTTGAAGTTAAAGTGGAAGCTCAAGTACCAGGCCGAGAAGGAGGTGAGGAAGAGGAGGAGGGATGAAAAGAAGGCCAGGGACCGGCCTGAGAGGACATCGGCTGGATACGCGAGCAGTTTCACCCAGCGGGCACACAAGTCGTGAGCCAGCAGCTGGAGAAAAAAGGAACTGCGCAGTGCAGTGCAGTGTGTAGCCCAGCATGGTATGGCAGTTGCATGACCATCACCACCACTGCCACCAACAACAACAGCAACAACAACAACAACATCAACAACAGTGTTATTCCACCCCCACCACCACCACCACCACCGCCACCGCCACCGCCAGCACCAGCATGACCAGCACCACCACCACCACCACCACCACCGCCACCGCCAGTAGAAGCACAACCAGCAGCAACAACAACAACAACAACAACAACAAGGTAGTAATAATAATAACAACAACAATAACACCAACAACACCAGCACCAAGACACTGAGAAAGTGTTGTCTGCACTCACGGATGGATGTCCACGAAGGACGTTACACTGGATGAAAGACGATGGTGTTGGTAATGGTGATGATAACGAAAACTGGGACACAGCGTGTCGTCGCACTTATGAGATGAAGGTTTTGTGCCAAGTACACCAGGCCGAAGGCGTGGCATACGAAAACGATATGAAATATCCGTCAGGGGTAAGGCCTCTGCCCCTTGCTACATCAGACACAAAGGAATGAAGTAGCATGAAATGAGATGAAGAATGAACGAAGATGAGCCATGCAGATACGTTTACCTAGGGGAGAGCTTCGTTGGACGGAGCTCTGCACCCCCTCCGTCCCCCCGCAGAAAGATGGGTGGTGAGCCCCTTATCTCATGAACGAGAGAAGTGCACACACACACACATACAGACACACACACAGACACACGCAAGCTCTTTCTGGCATGTTGCACTCCAATTTTGCTTAAAGGCTGGCTGCCGTGGTATGCGCTGATCTGGCTTAGGGTGTTACACCCCCAGCCAGGCCAGTGAATCTTGTTGCAGCTCAGTCCTGCACCCTGTCCAAGTACAGCTGGCATGCTTGCTGGGCAGTCGCTGACTTCCCTAGCAGCCTATTGTTGGGGCCTTTTGCCCACCAGCCTGATGCACTCCTACCCTGCCTGCCATAAACTACCTTGTAAGGATAGATCTGCCAAACTCTTTGCTGGGCTTCGGTCCAAGCCTCATATGACTGCTCAGCTGGGGGAGGCCTCTGAGCTGGAGCTGCTGGTGGCGGTGGTCCTGCTGCTGCTGCTGCTGTAGGGGCAGCTGCTGCTGCAGGTGCATAAGGTAAAACCCAGGCGATGTCGTCATCTTGGCCTTCATCCTGCATGTTGTTGACTCCAGCAATATCATCTCGGCTGTTGGGGTCAGCAGGGTCTGGCTCCAAGAAGTGCAGGGGAATTCGGCTGATTCCAAGAACCCGGGCTGTCTGGAAATATTGGATGGCAATGGGATGGTGCTTGGTGAGTTGGTCCGAGTTCCTCCCGCGAATGCAAGCTTTGAACTTGGCAATTGCAGTCTTGCAATATGCCTCATCAGTGTCTTGCTGAATGTACTGCTTTCTCACACGGGCTTCATAGGGCCTCTGCTCAGAAAGGAAGGAATGCAGCCTTTGGAGCCATTGCCTGGGATCCCCGTAACCCTGACATCTGATTTCTATCCTAACGCCGCCGTTTGTCTGATCCTCCTCCAGCTCCAACAGCAAGTCCTCCAATGCCTTGAGTTTAGCCCTGGTATCTGCTATTGTCTTTGGGGCTTTCTGCCAGGTGATGCTGGTGTAGTTCTTGAGGCAATGCAGCAGGATGGGGTAGAAGATGATCCTCTGGATCTTGAAGTTCTCAGCTGGGAACGTCAGGTCGGGAGTCTCCAGGCAGAGTGAGCCATGGGTCCTGGAGCCTACCATGGGGAAGACTTCTCCACATCCCCAACCTCTCCCTCTGGTGGAGTACAGTGGGATGAAATCTTCAGCGATCTCCCAGCCCGAAACCCCCAGACCATAGTCCTGAAGATCAAACCCCGAGGTTAACATCATCATAGTACAGGTACCTGTGGCAGAAATAGAAGTGGTATGAACAAGGGGATTGGCACCCAACCAAGCACCCGAACTAACCCTCAAACCCAGAGCCCACCTTAGATCCTGCATGTTAGCCAGAGACTCTCAAACCCCTTACTGACGCAATCTGATGTTGCGATAAAGCCAACCCTAGTATGCTGTAAGCCATATCTCCTCTCAAACTCTTACCAAAAAGGACCCTTACCCACACCCTACTGAAACCCTTCAACTCTTACAAACCCCTCATAAACACCCAAAATGCCCGACAAACACACTTCCTTCGAACTCTACAAGCGACGGTTCCACAAGGAGGTTTCATCCAAACCCTACAACTTTCGAACCCTTGGAAGGAACTCGTGAGAGGAACTTCAGTACTAGTTACAGTAGGGGCCTAAATAATTACCAGTACTATTCTTGGGGTCCCGTATTATAGTTATAATATAATGAGCTTAATTATTAAGGCCCCTATGTTAGTACCCTTGTACAGCCCTTGTAGTACCCTTCCAGTCGAGCACAAAAGAAAACCCGACAAAGGAACCCTTATCCCTCCTGAACCCTAAACCGTTTTAGTCCCTTCTCGTGCCTTATAGACCCTTACAGACCCTGAAATAGACCCTCATCGACCCTGAAATAGACCCTTATAGAACCCTTAAAGGAACCTTAGAAGGAACCTGTACATTCTTGAGCAAAAGTCCTTGGCCAGCAACTCCCGATTCGAGAGCCTTGGGTGTTTTGTTCGCGTTCGGCTGTAGGGCTTCCGTCCTAGGGTTTAGGGTTAAGGGTTTAAGGCTTCGGGTTTAGATGATATAAATCCTGGATACCTTGAGGACCCAAACTACAGGAATTAGGGTATATTCCTTACTATAGTTATGCAGGATTTGTATCATCAACCGTACTTTAAGATCGGCTTGGAGGGCTCCTGTGGGGTTTAGGGTTCAAGGTGTCGGGTGTTAGGGTTCAAGGTGTCGGGTGTTGGTTGAGGTTCAGGGTTAGGGCTTAAGCCTCAATCTTCGAGGGTTCCTGTCAAGAGCTTGGGGCTTAGTTTAGGCTTTCGGGCTCTGTCAAAGGTTCCTTTGAGGGCTTGGGTTTCCTAGGATCACCCACGATTGGCCTCTTAGAGGGTCGTATAGAGTTTGCATGGGGGGCTTCTTGGCTTCCTACCCAGACCCCCAAAAGGATCTAAAAAAATAGATCCCCTAATTAGGGACCCTAACTACTAAAGGGTACTTTATAGGAACCCCCTTAAGGGATCTATTTTTTAGATCCTTTTGGGGGTCTGGGTAGAGAATTCCAGGAGTGCGGGGTTTCTGGGTTCAGGGTTTCAGGGTGTCGGTTTCCAAGGTGAAGGTGTTGAAACTCTAGGTCTCTAGCTTCGGGCTTTCAGGGTGTAGGAGTTCAGGGTTGGTGTTCAGGGTATTAGTAAACGCTAAACCCTAAACCCTAAAAACTAAATTAGGGTTTTCTGATGGGGCAACTTAGACGGAAAACTAGGCTTCACGGTGCTTCTTAAGGAAGCCAAACATCAGCTTCGAGGGTCTTATGTCGACTGTAATAAGGAGTCATGTGCTTCCAGGGTTTAGGGTTTGGGGTTTAGGGTTTAGGCTTTAGGGTTTACGGTGTAAGGTTTAGGGTTTAGGGTTCCAAGAACTGCCCAGGAGCAGGCGCACGAAGGCCTGTGAGTAGTACTCGAAGTCCTTCACGGCGCGAGCCTTGCGTGTTTGGGTGCTTTCTGTTGGTTTGTGCTGGTTAGAGTTGGTGGTAGTTTAAGTTTAGGGTGGCATACTGTACACAGAACTCAAAAGCCCGTACTTCAGCAACAGACCTTAAATAACAAAATGCAGCCCTGCTGGGATTTAAACCTTTTCTATGGGAGGGGGCCTCATTTCGGTTCCCTTGAAGTCGCCATTACGGTAACCCTATTCCAGGAACCCAAATCTAAACACAAATGTAACGAACCAAACCTTAAACCCCTAAACCCTAAACCCTAAACCCTAAACACCCTAAACCCTAAACCCTAAAAACCCTAAACCCTAAACCCCCCCCCCTGGCGGCTCTAAAACCCCCCCGTAGTTGACAGTTTAGCTCCCTGCCTGATGGTCCGTGAGCTTTGGCCGATCGTCGGCATACCTTCCCCAGTGGATCATCCGCGGCTCCTTCCCGGCCTGTGGGTGCTTCGTAAGGTTTAGGCGATCGGGGTGTTAAGGGTTTAGGGCTTTGGGGGATTTATGAGTTGAATGGGGTTAGGGCTAACGGTTAGGGCTTGTATGCTTGGTAGGGTTTGGGCATTCCTAAATCCATATTTGATGCAGGGTCTCTATGCTTGGATGAAGGGTATTGGGCTGGCCGTTTAGATTGACGGAGTCGTGGTGGGTGGGTAGTTACACAGCTTTGTTGGGCAGGGTCAGCTTCTAAATAATCGGATTACCCTAAGCCCACAACCCCCCCAAACCCTAAACCTCCACAAAGCCTAAACCCCTAAACCCTAAACCCTTAAGCCTCAGAATGTGAAGGCTCTTCTTTCCCTCAGGCCTCCATCCTAAACCCCTAAACCCAAAACCCCTAAACCCTAAACCCCTAAACCCTAAACCCGGTTTTTGTTGGCCTCCAGCATCTTGCTGGCCACCAGCTCGACGATCTCCATGGGCAGCTCGTTGAACTCCGCGTCCGACAGCGCCTCGTAGTAGGAAAGGTCTTTCATCTCTTCCGGCTCTTCCTCCAGGATGAAACTTGCCCAGGAGGTTGGGTTTTGAGGGTTTAAGGGTGAAGGGTTTAGGGTTCAGGGCTTTAGGAGCCAGGGGGCTCAAGAATTTATGACTGATGATGAGGAAAAGCATAAAAGCACTCTCATGGCTGACCATGCGATTGCAGTAAGGCTTCTCAAACCTACGATCGGGAGCTCAAGCATCTCCGTACCCCTGAGCCCCGAGTCACCTGAATCTCACCTGGTGGAGCTAGACGCATCTCAGACTAAGATGTGGAGGCATAGACGTAGGAAATACTTGCACCGTCCTCTGCAGTGTGAACCAAAAAGTCGCAAGAATCCCACACCCTATGAACAACCTAGAGAACCAGGACGCTTGAAGGAATCCTTCACAATAAAGCTGACCCCGATTGTTGAAGTAATTGCCATACTGTTGATGATATAAATCTTGATTACCTTAAGGACTCTAAACTGCGGGAATTTTATTATAATCCTGAATTAGGAGTAACGCAGGATATATATCATCCACCGTGGGGCCTTAATGATTAGAATAGGGTTTGGGGCCCATTATCCTGAAACCATAAGGAACCCCTCAAAATATTATAGGTTGTTATTAAGGCCGCTATATTGTAGACCCTAAACTCCTCAACCCCAAACCCCAAACACCTTATAGTTCTTGTTAAAGGAACCCCTAAAACCCCTTATGGTAAGGCCCCCCCTAAACCCTAAACCCTAAACCCTAAACCCAAAGCCCTCAGCCCTAAGCCCTAAACCCTAAACCCTAAACCCTAAACCCTAAGCCCTAAACCCTAAACCCTAAACCCCGAACCCCAAACCCCAAATTAGGGCCCCCCCCCTTTTTTAGGTCA